CGACTGCAAATCTGTCAGGACTTCGCAGAAATTGCTCAAACTGACAAAGCAATTTGTGCAAATTATCTTAAATAAATAAAACGTGACAAAAAATTTATATAACATTATTTCAAAGATACAGTGAATTTATGAAGCAACCTAGTGCAAAAGTAGCTACTATTAAACATTTTCGACTGCAAATCTGTCAGGACTTCGCAGAAATTGCTCAAACTGACAAAGCAATTTGTGCAAATGATCTTAAATCAATAAAACGTGACAAAAAATTTATATAACATTATTTCAAAGATACAGTGAATTTATGAAGCAACCTAGTGCAAAAGTAGCTACTATTTAACATTTTCGACTGCATATCTGCCAGGACTTCACAGAAATTGCTCAAACTGACAAAGCAATTTGTGCAAATTATCTTAAATCAATAAAACGTGACAAAAAATTTATATAACATTATTTCAAAGATACAGTGAATTTATGAAGCAACCTAGTGCAAAAGTAGCTACAATTTAACATTTTCGACTGCAAATCTGTCAGGACTTCACAGAAATTGCTCAAACTGACAAAGCAATTTGTGCAAATTGTCTTAAATCAATAAAACATGACAAAAAATTTATATAACATTATTTCAAAGATACAGTGAATTTATGAAGCAACCTAGTGCAAAAGTAGCTACTATTAAACATTTTCGACTGCAAATCTGTCAGGACTTCACAGAAATTGCTCAAACTGACAAAGCAATTTGTGCAAATGATCTTAAATCAATAAAACATGACAAAAAATTTATATAACATTATTTCAAAGATACAGTGAATTTATGAAGCAACCTAGTGCAAAAGTAGCTACTATTTAACATTTTCGACTGCATATCTGCCAGGACTTCACAGAAATTGCTCAAACTGACAAAGCAATTTGTGCAAATGATCTTAAATCAATAAATCATGACAAAAAATTTATATAACATTATTTCAAAGATACAGTGAATTTATGAAGCAACCTAGTGCAAAAGTAGCTACTATTTAACATTTTCGACTGCATATCTGCCAGGACTTCACAGAAATTGCTCAAACTGACAAAGCAATTTGTGCAAATGATCTTAAATCAATAAAACGTGACAAAAAATTTATATAACATTATTTCAAAGATACAGTGAATTTATGAAGCAACCTAGTGCAAAAGTAGCTACTATTTAACATTTTCGACTGCATATCTGCCAGGACTTCACAGAAATTGCTCAAACTGACAAAGCAATTTGTGCAAATGATCTTAAATCAATAAATCATGACAAAAAATTTATATAACATTATTTCAAAGATACAGTGAATTTATGAAGCAACCTAGTGCAAAAGTAGCTACTATTTAACATTTTCGACTGCAAATCTGTCAGGACTTCACAGAAATTGCTCAAACTGACAAAGCAATTTGTGCAAATGATCTTAAATCAATAAAACGTGACAAAAAATTTATATAACATTATTTCAAAGATACAGTGAATTTATGAAGCAACCTAGTGCAAAAGTAGCTACTATTTAACATTTTCGACTGCAAATCTGCCAGAACTTCACAGAAATTGCTCAAACTGACAAAGCAATTTGTGCAAATTATCTTAAATAAATAAAACGTGACAAAAAATTTATATAACATTATTTCAAAGATACAGTGAATTTATGAAGCAACCTAGTGCAAAAGTAGCTACTATTTAACATTTTCGACTGCAAATCTGTCAGGACTTCACAGAAATTGCTCAAACTGACAAAGCAATTTGTGCAAATTGTCTTAAATCAATAAAACATGACAAAAAATTTATATAACATTATTCCAAAGATACAGTGAATTTATGAAGCAACCTAGTGCAAAAGTAGCTACTATTTAACATTTTCGACTGCAAATCTGTCAGGACTTCACAGAAATTGCTCAAACTGACAAAGCAATTTGTGCAAATTGTCTTAAATCAATAAAACGTGACAAAAAATTTATATAACATTATTCCAAAGATACAGTGAATTTATGAAGCAACCTAGTGCAAAAGTAGCTACTATTAAACATTTTCGACTGCATATCTGTCAGGACTTCACAGAAATTGCTCAAACTAACGAAGCAATTTGTGCAAATTATCTTAAATCAATAAAACGTGACAAAAAATTTATATAACATTATTTCAAAGATACAGTGAATTTATGAAGCAACCTAGTGCAAAAGTAGCTACTATTAAACATTTTCGACTGCAAATCTGTCAGGACTTCACAGAAATTGCTCAAACTGACAAAGCAATTTGTGCAAATTATCTTAAATCAATAAAACGTGACAAAAAATTTATATAACATTATTTCAAAGATACAAAGAATTTATGAAGCAACCTAGTGCAAAAGTAGCTTCTTTTTAACATTTTCGACTGCAAATCTGCCAGAACTTAACAGAAATTGCTCAAACTGACAAAGCAATTTGTGCAAATGATCTTAAATCAATAAAACATGACAAAAAATTTATATAACATTATTTCAAAGATACAGTGAATTTATGAAGCAACCTAGTGCAAAAGTAGCTACTATTTAACATTTTCGACTGCAAATCTGTCAGGACTTCACAGAAATTGCTCAAACTGACAAAGCAATTTGTGCAAATGATCTTAAATCAATAAAACATGACAAAAAATTTATATAACATTATTTCAAAGATACAGTGAATTTATGAAGCAACCTAGTGCAAATGGAGCTTCTTTTTAACATTTTCGACTGCAAATCTGCCAGAACTTCACAGAAATTGCTCAAACTGCAAAGCAATTTGTGCAAATTATCTTAAATCAATAAAACGTGACAAAAAATTTATATAACATTATTTCAAAGATACAGTGAATTTATGAAGCAACCTAGTGCAAAAGTAGCTTCTTTTTAACATTTTCGACTGCAAATCTGCCAGAACTTCACAGAAATTGCTCAAACTGACAAAGCAATTTGTGCAAATTATCTTAAATCAATAAAACGTGACAAAAAATTTATATAACATTATTTCAAAGATACAGTGAATTTATGAAGCAACCTAGTGCAAAAGTAGCTACTATTTAACATTTTCGACTGCAAATCTGTCAGGACTTCACAGAAATTGCTCAAACTGACAAAGCAATTTGTGCAAATGATCTTAAATCAATAAAACATGACAAAAAATTTATATAACATTATTTCAAAGATACAGTGAATTTATGAAGCAACCTAGTGCAAAAGTAGCTTCTTTTTAACATTTTCGACTGCAAATCTGCCAGAACTTCACAGAAATTGCTCAAACTGACAAAGCAATTTGTGCAAATGATCTTAAATCAATAAAACGTGACAAAAAATTTATATAACATTATTCCAAAGATACAGTGAATTTATGAAGCAACCTAGTGCAAAAGTAGCTACTATTAAACATTTTCGACTGCAAATCTGTCAGGACTTCACAGAAATTGCTCAAACTAACAAAGCAATTTGTGCAAATTATCTTAAATCAATAAAACGTGACAAAAAATTTATATAACATTATTTCAAAGATACAGTGAATTTATGAAGCAACCTAGTGCAAAAGTAGCTACTATTAAACATTTTCGACTGCAAATCTGTCAGGACTTCACAGAAATTGCTCAAACTGACAAAGCAATTTGTGCAAATTATCTTAAATCAATAAAACGTGACAAAAAATTTATATAACATTATTTCAAAGATACAAAGAATTTATGAAGCAACCTAGTGCAAAAGTAGCTACTATTTAACATTTTCGACTACAAATCTGCCAGGACTTCACAGAAATTGCTCAAACTGACAAAGCAATTTGTGCAAATTATCTTAAATCAATAAAACATGACAAAAAATTTATATAACATTATTTCAAAGATACAGTGAATTTATGAAGCAACCTAGTGCAAAAGTAGCTACTATTTAACATTTTCGACTGCATATCTGCCAGGACTTCACAGAAATTGCTCAAACTGACAAAGCAATTTGTGCAAATGATCTTAAATCAATAAAACGTGACAAAAAATTTATATAACATTATTTCAAAGATACAGTGAATTTATGAGTAGAGAGGATGGGACTAACGTCGCTGTTTTTGAGGTGTCCGGTGTCATGATGCTGATAAGATTAAACACGATTTTACATGTAAGCGGAAATTGATAATTTTATAGCATTATTGATAAGATAGTGAAATTTTCTTAGATACACTTATAATAATTTCTTTTTGGGAAAAAGAAGTTGAAACTTGAGGCGTGCTGGGAATATGAAGAAATTTGTTTTGGTATAAACAAAGTGTGTACGACATGTGTAAGTTATTTATTATGATGTAACAGTATATTTTTTAGAAAGTATGGTTGTTAAGAGTGTGAATGATGATTTGAAAGTTGTAAAAAAAGGGCTCCTTCTTTAAAATGTATGGTGTGGACTTTGAAAGATATCACTTTTGGGTTTATGTGCCACTAAGAGTGTTCATTTTATAGAATTGTAACATAAAACGCATGAAAATGTTAAGAAAATGTTAAGAAATTATATTTATGGAAATTCAGAATGTCAAAATATGTGACAAGATGTATTTATGATGGTTCAGATATATGAGATTCATAGTTATTGCAAGATAATAAACTAATTTTCTAACAAAAAATTGGTCCCTTTAAGGGAGGTGGTTCATAAAAAAATATTGTGTATTTTAGAAATTTTCTAAATGTTTTATTGCTTCAAAATGTCACTTTAAAATATGTTAATTTTTGCGTTAAATTCTTTCCTTATGTATTTATTTAGTGTTACGATCAATATCATTGTGTGAGTGTTCAAATAATGTATGGAAGTAAAGGCGTGTCAATAACTTAAATGTTCAAATTTACGCACATCAAGTATGTTTACTTATCGTAGGAATGTCCATTACTTTTATTTTTTAAAACACTATTTAAATTTTAAGTTTTGAAGACAAGAAAATTCAGATGCTGTTTAAACGTTCATTTAAAAGTAAATGTTTTTAGAAATAAATTCCGAATTAATTTATAAAAAATGGATAACCGTGAAAATTTTGATAAATACATTGTTGAAGAATTAGGGTTAAATCCTGCCAAGCCTGCCAATTCTGAAGAGTTAGCTAGAACCAAAAAGGAACTTGAAGAACTTTTTCTTACCACTCATTCAAATGATGTTCTACACAGTTTAAAAAATTCAGAAAATCAAGAACTCGACATAAGTTCTGTGGATGAAAATATTCTGAATAAGTGTGTTGATGAAATATCAAATAAGTCGAGTTTAAAGGACTTTGAAGTGTTAAAAGGGAATTTATTTGATGAAGGGCATTCTTCTTGTTATCAAAGTGAAGTGTCTCCATTTGATGAAAGTGACTTAAAAAATGTGAATGATGTTGAATTAGAAAGAGTTTTAAAGCAAATTAATCTTAATGGTCAAACTATTCCGGATTTACAGGATTTAGGAAGGGGTGTTTTAAGTGAAAATATTTGGAGGGACAATTTAAAACAAGCATTAAAGGATGCTAAAAAAACTTTTAAGAATTTGTATGAAAAAAGCCGAGATAAAATAGACACATCGGATGATTTGACTTTAGATCAATTGAGTGATGATGAAGAAACAAAAACCCTAATTAAAGGTTTTAAATATATAAAATTTGTTAAATCAGTTCAAGAGGGAATATGGCAAGATGTTCTAACAAAAACATTCTGTAAATTGCGTTTCAAAATTAAAGAAGTTCAAGAATTTCAGAAGGCCTTCGAAGAAGTAGCGCTTTTCATAAAGGCTGGTGAGTTTTAAGAATTTTAATTTTTTTTATTCATGACAAATTTATTCATATATCTGTAATTTATCAAATAGTCTGTAAAGAAAGTCCGTTAGTTGGCATAAGGATTTGTCTTACATCTCAAAAAGCAGACTCTGGAATATTTTTATCGTTTCGAGACCCTACACAATATTCTGGTGAATTAATTTTAACGCAGTTTTTGAAGGTAGGAAATAAATTTTATTAATTAATTCAATATCAACTAAATTATCTTTTTAGGTCTCTCAAAGCAATGAAGAATATTTAGCTTCACCATTTCTGAGATTATACATCGATAAACTATCTGATTTAAGAGGAGGAGCGACTATCGATTTACAGAGTTTATCTCATGATAAAAGCCGTGATATTATTAGCAAACGGACACTGATACCTACTGAACCTTTTCTAAAACCTGGTGAACAAAAGTGCTTTATTCTAGCAGTATGCATGGGTATCCTAAAAGCTCATAATGTGACACCCCCAAAAGGCTTCAGACAAATGTCTATAAATAAGATTAAAATTTCAAAGTCCACTAATCGTCCTCGTAAAACTCAATTTATGACATATTATGATTATTTAACAAGGCTTTCAAACTTTATATCAAAAAAAGCGGATGTGGACTTTAGCATTTTTAATAGTAAAAATCAACCTGCATTAAAGGAGTTCACAAAAATTCAAAATGTCCTTGAGAATTTTACATTGCCTTCTAATATTGGATTATCTAATATTTCTACAAAGCCTCAATCCTATAGAATCAAAATATATAATTCGTTTAAAAAAGTAGTATTTTATGGAAATGCTGAGAAAAGTGACTTACAGGATGCCCAGAATTTAAACCTCCTTTACATAAACAAACATTACAATTTTATTCAAAGTCTCCCAGGGACTTTCAGTAGATCTTATTTCTGTAATCACTGTAATAAGTCAAGTAATAACAATCACAAACACAAAAACTGCGCTTTTAGCTGTTCATCATGTTTTAAGTCACCGCCGTGTCTTCACAAGAATCTAACGGATATAAATGAAATTTTTTGTGAGGAATGCACACGCGTTTTCTTTTCTGAACAATGTTACAAAAATCATCTTGATAATGAGATATGTAAAAAAATATCTTTTTGCAAGAATTGTGGCGCTTTACAACATAAAAATCATAAGTGTGGTATGTTTAGATGCTCTAAATGTGAAACGGATCGTGAAATCGAACACACATGTAAAATTCCAGTCTTTGAGCCTAAAGCTCTTAGTCCTGAAGAGCATCATTTTGTTTTCTATGATTTGGAAGCAAGAACAGAAATATCTGAGAACAAGAAAGGTGAAAAGTTTGTTGTTAATCTATGTGTTTGTGAAATAATTTGCGAGGAGTGTATAAATGTCCAGGAATCCAACTACAATTGCAAGGTTTGTGGACCACGTCAACGCATATATAGAGGCGAGAATGCTGTAAAAGATTTTCTAAATTTTCTTATTACGTTGGGACGTACAAAACGAATAACAATCCTGAGTCACTTTGGGAGTTGTTTTGACCAATTATTTGTTTTGAGAGAAATTCTCAAGGCTCATCGCGGAAAAATGCCTCAATTAACGGCAAATGGGACAAAATTATATTTGTTAAAATTGGGGAACTTAAGATTTATAGACAGTTATAACTTTATGCCTGCCAAACTGAGTAATTTGCCAAAAATGTTTGGATTTAGTGAGGATGAAAAAGGTAAAAAAAAAAAGTATTAAAGAAAAGTATTTGAATTAAAAAATTTTTTAATTTTTTAAACTTTTCTAGGATTCTTTCCTCATGGGTTTAACAAACTAGAAAATGAAAACTACATAGGTAAATATCCAGACGCTTCGTATTATGAGCCCTCTGCTATGAATGAAAAAGAGCGTGAAAAGTTTTACGAATGGTATAATAGTGTTAAGCACTTAGAATTCGATTTTCAATATGAATTGCAAAGATATTGTGAAAATGATGTAAAGTTACTTCGTATAGCGTGTGTGATATTTACCCAACAATTAAGAATGGAATGTGGGTTCGATGTATTCCAGTATTGTACAACCATAGCCAGTGTGGTGAGTCGTATTTTTAGGAAAATGTTCTACAAGCCTGACTCACTTACAATTACACCTGAATGTCATCGACTGACTGACAACCAATCCATGATTGCAATTGTTTACTTACGATATATGGAGAAACAATTTAATGTTACAATAGACAGTGCATTCCGCGGAAAAGAACGGATTGTAAAATGCAAGAATATGTCAAAATATAAAGTCGATGGATTGTTTGAAAAAGATGGTCAAACACACGTGGTGGAATTTCAAGTAAACTTAATACATAACTTCAAACCTTATGTTTTTTTTGTTAACACTATTTTTTTTAGGGTTGCATATATCATGGTTGTGTTAAGTGTCAACCTATAGATAAAGCCGCATATTTACCTCACTTTACACAAAATGATACATCCAAATTCAACAGTAGTTTAAATATGTCATTAAGAAGAGAAGAAACAGAGCGTAAAATGAATGCATTACGTGAAAGTGGGTTCATTGTCCATGAAATGAATGAGTGTGATTTTAAAAGACTTTTAAAGGAGGATCCAGAACTTGAAAGAGAACTGAGACAAGACATTTCAGAACCTCCTCTTAGAACAAGAGATTCTTTTTTTGGTAAGTTTATAAGTTTACGTATAAAATATAATAAAAAAGTTAAAATTAATTAAATTTAGGAGGATCAGTGGATTGTATTGTTACGCACAAAGTTGCAGATTCAAATGAGACCATTCAGTATTTAGACTACACAAGGTACTTTAATAAATTGATTTTATGTATTCAAAGTGTTAATTAAATCTATATTACAATTCTTCTTCTTATTCTTAATGAATAGTTTGTATCCCTACATTTTGAGGTAATGTTAAGCAGATTAAAAACAAAAAAAAAAAAAAAACACAAATGATTTGAGATAAACTTTTTTTAAAAAAAAATAGATACTGTCTACTTCCTTCAGATGCACCGAAGAGGATTTTAATCGGAAATAATGAGTGCTCTAAAGTTAATTTGCACAAATTCGATGGATTTATTCGATGTCAGATCCTACCACCAAAATCACTACTTTTTCCAGTGTTGCCATGTCGAATCAATTCGAAACTAATGTTTGTTTTATGCCATAAATGTGCAGTTAATGAGAGTTCTTCAGATTGTACCCACAGTGATGATGAACGAGGATGGACAGGAGTATTCGTGAGTGTTGAATTAAAACATGCTCTAGAACTTGGCTACAAAGTGGTGTACATTCATGAAATTCATGAGTATGAATTGCGAGCAGACATGTTCACGGGCTTCATCAGACATTTTTATGTTAAAAAAATTCTAGCTTCAGGAAAGCCTGCAAATTTTGAAAAATTTAAAGAAGAATTTTATCGACGTGAAGGAATTATGTTAAATGAAGATGAATTTGAAGATAATCCAGCAAAGCGATCACTGGCTAAGCTTATGCTAAATAGGTACGTTTGAATAAGAGTAAATTACCATAGTAATAATAATAAAATGACCGTTAAATTTTCAAAAATTACTAACATTACCATAAGATTTTTACTCCTCCTACTACTACTACTTCTCACATAAACTGATTTATATCAAAGTTTTGCTTAATATTTATTTTTTTCATATATTTTTAAAGCCTTTGGGGGAAGTGGGCTCAAAAAAATCACCCACACTGTAGATTAATTGAAGATCCTCAAGAACTATTCTTAATGATTAATAATCCTCAAATTGATATAAAGAGTTCTTACATAGTTAATCCAGAAATCCTCCTTGTAACATATGATGATTCAAGTGACACTTCAGTTTTAAATACTACATCATTAGCCTGTGCATCCTTTGTAACTGCATATGGCAGGGATCGATTGCATAGGCAACTGCAGCCATTAGGGGCTAAAATTTTGTATTACGACACGGATTCCGTCGTGTGTTGCGCAACTAAAGGAAGTAATGAGATTGCACAAGGAGAACAACTTGGCGATCTTAAAAATGAACTCTTGGAGTATGGTGAAAATGCATATATAACGGAATTCGTTGGCACTGGGCCTAAGAGTTATGCAATGAAGATTGTTAACCCCGACACAGGAAAGATTACAGAAGTTTGTAAAGTTAAAGGTAATTAAAATCAATTCAACTCAATTCATCCCAAATTTAGTAACTAGATATGCCATGCATTCAACAAATGCTTGTAAACACAAAAAAATTGAAAGCATGTTTATTTTAACGGTTTTTTTTTTGAATTTTAAGGCATTACTCTCAACCATAAAACATCGCAGTCCATTAACTTCACAAGTATATTTCAACACGCAACTTGTGAAAAAATCGAACCAATAAAGATAAGCAACAAGATGTTTGTTCGTACACGTGATGCTGAAGTCTACTTAACTGATCATGAGAAGACGTTTCGTGCTGTATTAAAGAAACGGCGTAGAATTGGCAATCGGACAGTCCCATATGGCTATACTTCAAATGTGAATTAGTTTGGAAAAAAATTAATAAAGTTATTTTTTCTAAAATAAATCCCTTAAAATATTTTATTTAAATTTTATTGCACAAAAATTTCAGATATTGTACATTTCACAACATAAGCTTGAGCGAAAAATGCATACAGTTACCAATAATATGAACATATGTATTAGTGTTAATAAGTGAGGTTACTCCCCCGTGAAGCACTACCTCATGTTTGTGTTTGTGTGTGTGCATTTACAATACTAAAACAAATTTATCTTCAAGGGAGGAGGAGTGACAACTAAGATTTTTTTCCAAAAATTGTCACATTTAGGCTATTTAAAAAGACTAAGCAGTGAACTTGACATCATTTATTTTCAATTTTTTTGTGAAGCATCACAGATCTTAAGACAAATATCTAAAACGTTAAGAAAAGTCAATTTTTTGAAACCATGGCTCAAATCAGTAATAATGTAAGTAATAAAATATTTATAAAGTGAAGTGAAGTGAAGTCAAAAATATTAAGTTTTAAAATACATTTTTTCTTTAATCCTCCAACAACAACTAGAATTCATGCGGTGTGGCAAACATTGATATTTTAAACAATGTCAACAAGAAAATTTTGAGACAAACTGTAAGACCAACTGATCTTCTCCTCAATACCCATTATTCAGCTGAGACAATTCGGAAAGTTCACACCAATTACGGAGATGTCTATTTACTTGAATCTGAGGATTTCATTATGTTCATGCCAAAACGCTATAGTGGTGTTGAAATTGAGGAGTTTGTAAAAAATCGGCATTTTATGATTAGTGGATTTGCAGGGTTTGGCCGTCATCGTACACCTATTTTAAACTTTTTGTTAAAGGATGAGGCACAAGCATCAGCTTCAATCACTCAACAGAATGCTGAAAATAATAAAATGTAATATTGAATTGCATTTATTAAATGAATAAAAAAAATTTCTTTTACAAACTTCAAAATTTTAATTGTTGGTCAATTTTATTCAATTTATTTTATTTTACAGTTTTTATTTTAATTTTTAAATATTAAAAAAAAAAATCATGCCCTATTTCATGTTAAAAGATTTGAAAATTTTTTCGACTTGAATATCATTCATTGTAACATTTAGACTAAAGTGTGACAAAAAGTCTTGAAGAGATCTGTTATGGCATAAATAATATCCAAAAATGCAACAATACAAGCCACATACTCTGCTTTTTAATTGTTGCAACTGTTGAGTGTTAAAAACTATACTTTTACAGTGCATTCGAATAAATTGTTGAACAATTTGATTTGATGGTTTTTGGGCAAAACTACAAAAAAAAGTACCGTGGCCTTCTTTTGATATAAAAAGGGATTGCCAATGTTCTCCAGGATGTTGAGATGAACTCGTATTAATAACGAAAATTGCTGGTAAATTGACTTTATTAGGAAGATAATCATATGGTCCAACAAATACCATTTTTACAGGCAATGTAGTTAAAAAGTTGTCAATTTGAAATTTAAACATTTTTTTTTTAAGTTGCGTAATCAAGAAAAACTTCACGATGTTGATTTATCTCAATGAGATTATTGTATTCCAAATAAACGACTGCTACAATATGCTTTGCCAGAACTTTACTGAATTGGAGGTCTATTCTTAGACTGCCGGATGCTGGGAGTGACCAGAAAGGACTGTTCGATGAAATGTCGTGCGTGAGGTCGAATATTGTTACCATAAAACCCCCTTTATAATCCGAGTAACTTATGTTTAATGAGGAGTTCTCAAATGTATTATTACTGTCATACACTAAACTGTTATAAGCATCTGTATAACAATCGGTTGAAAATGAAGGTTTCAAAGGAAGATTTCTAATATTCCCTTCTGAGAGAATATTCAAGTAGCATATGTCATGATGTTCAAAATTAAAAGGATTTGAGTGCCATGACCCATTAAATGCCGTACTGTCTAAAAATCCAAGGATTATTCGAGATGGTAGCTGATTATGTTGAAAACCTTCAAGAGTGGCACTCTGTACACCTTTTCCAATTAATATGTTGCGCATTTCTGTTCTCACTATAGGGTACTTGGCTGTAAATGTCATCATTGTCTTAGCATGTGCAGCCATAATAGCTGCAGCTAATTGCACACGCCGTACCAATAACACACATTCTGTTATGATGATCTTATATTTTGAGGCGTCAGTCGTTTTAGTAATCACACAAAACTCATTTTTACTTCGGTAAAATTTTAAACCAATTTGTACATTATTAAGCATATATTTGTTAGAGTTGAATAAGTCTAAATGCAATGGGCCCTCCATTGAAAATTCACCCTGTTGAGCTATTTTACGTCTCACTTTATATCCTTCATTTTCCTCATCAGCTAACATTTTGTGTGATGTGTCTTTAAAGAAATGTGCTGTTTGCAATATACCATTCTTCTCATTAGAGTAGTTGAGGAGATTTTCAAAGTAAGCCTTAAATGGATATAATGAATTCTGACAAGTAATTACTTTTTGATTTAATTCCACATTAATTTGTTGAAATAAACTATGCAAGGAATTATTTATCAAAGCAGCATTACAGCCCTCAGGAAGTGGTGTACCATTTTCACAAACAATTTTAGCTTTAACTCTTAGTCGCGTATGTCCCATATCGGTATACGATTTCTGGCATGGCGGTACATTGAATTCGATTGCTGATTCTGATGAAATTAAGTCAAGAGGGGTCGTTGGGCGAATTTCCAAAAAAAATCCTTCGGTTACTGTCATATTGGTAGGAGGTACCGTGAACAAATCTGCTCCTGATGATATGGAGGGCTTTGATGCAATATTTAGAAATGCCATTATTTTGAAATTAATTAACAATTAAAAATAATAATCTTGGGTATCGTTGATATTTTTCCTTCGCTTAGTAACTTTTTTTTTATTCAATTTTCGACGCTTAACAGTCTTTTTAACTGGCTTTTTTTTCTTTTTTGATTTTGATTTACTTTTTATAACTTTACGATTCTTAGTGTTATTAGACCGAATATGCGATGAAGACTGGCGATTCCTACACAATATTGAGTCTTTTTTATAGCCATGACCGTTCATTCCATAAAATTTATGAGCTAGCTTATCAGCTACCTCAAGACCACGTGTTTTGAGGGCGTTCTTGAAGTCTTTATTATTGGCCACATCTGTCAATACATCATTTGCTCCTCTTAAAAATTCACGTCCCAACGAAATTCCACCACTTTTTAGGAGAGGAATTACGTTCCGGAAAATTCCTGACAGGAAGGCACCAATTCCTATAGATAAATTTACAATTAATTTTTAAATTAAAAAAAAAAAAAAACATGATTATTATTATCAAAATTACCATTTCCTCTTTGAAAGTTTGTTCCCGTAAAATAATCAAATGACCCCCCGGCCTGTTGATTATAATAGTTCTCAAGTATTTTCATATTTTGTTCAAATTCCATTTTTTAATTTTTCTCTTAAAATCGACGAAACTTAAGTATCAAGGCGAACTCTCCGAATTGAAATGGCACTTTCTGGCCTGTATTGTCTCTTATATGTACCGTCATGGTATCAATTGTGCGTTTTGAAATTTTTAAAAAGTCATGACTTTCGAAATTACGCTGAATAACATCACCAAAATTAGAATTATTTTCTACACCTGGACAGATTTTTAGGACTTGACATAGTTTATCGCCTACATTCTGAGACTCTATAAAATCAGCATAGATAAAAAATAAGCTTGGAAACCCTAAATTTATATTATAAGGAAAATTTGCAACTGTTTCATTGTCGTTTAATAAATTGTGAGTATCGGGATTAAATCCGCAAATCAATCCTAATTTTCCTTCTAAGTATAAACGTGTCATGTGGCACTTTTCAACACTACCATCATACTTTTTTTTGCTATACTTGCACAATAAATCTCGTTTATCTTTATCAATAATTATACGACGTTTATTTTCATCGATCGTAAATAAATTCAATATTGGTGGGTCTTCCTTCTTGGGTGACACAATTTTTTCTCGCACATTTTCATTTAAAATATCGATAACTTCAAAAATATTTGAATAATGATCATATGGCAAATTCACTATTACTCTTAGTTTAAAAATTTTCTCAACAGCATTTGGGACAAATTTGTCCATTTCCAAAATTAAACTATTATTATATGGTGTAATGTTTTGAATTGTTTGAGGATATACAATGGATGTAGCAGCCACTCTAAAATCGTCTGACAAATGTAGTGTTTGAGGTAGAATAACTGAAAATGAACATGTTGTGTTCTCAGGATAATAATTCAAATTAGAATCACTGAGCAGTGTAATAAAAAATTCATCTTTATTGGGATCGGCACGTGTCATTTTTTTTATTATTATGATATCAAATCTCTTTTTTTTATCCAACTACACTTTTTAAATCCTTTCCACTTTACTAAAACTTCTTTTGTTCCTTTAAAAGTGCGCTGTTTTAAAATTTTTTCGATGCGATGCAAAGTATTTGAATCATTGGCGACTGGTTGTAGTTCAGCTCTGTAGAATGCACCTTGAACTAACTCTCCTTGCAAATCAGTCAGTCTATATATATAGCAATGGTGTCTTATTTTTTTTCTCACAATGAAAATTTCATCTGAGTAATTACATAAATAGCCCTTGTCAAACGGTGTTTTAGTTTTTGAAACGCGTACAAAATCCCCTTCATTTAAAGGTTTTTCCTTTTTGTTTCGAAGTTTTTTGATAAGTCCAGCTTGATGCTTCTGAATGAATTCCCAAACCTCTAAAACATTAGATTTGTTGACATTTATCGGGGCTCTTCCAATCGATCGATTATATCTTATATTCATTAGATTTGTTATTTTTGGGATTTCAGTTATATAACTGAATGTTCTTTTTGAAGTCAGAATCTTAAACAGAATTCCTTTAAAAGAACGGATAGCTCGTTCCGAAAAACATGCGTGTGAACTCTCATTAGATGGGAAAAACTGTACAATATTTTGCTTTTTAAAAAAATCAGTTAATTTTTTATTTTTCAATTCCCCTCCGGAATCTGATGAAAAATAAAGAGGCTTTGCACCTCTTTCTTGAATTATGGACTCAATTGCATTTAAAACTTCATTGGCTGACTTTGATTTCAAGGCCCTAGTCGATACAAGTCTTGTAAAACAGTCAACTATCAAAATTACATATTTATAGTTGTCATTAAACTTACTAAGACTCGATAAATCTATAAGGTCACATTGCCACTGTTCATTGATGTTAGTAATTTGGTATGGTATCCTTTTATACTTCAATTGACGGGGTTTATGCAAAACATAGGCTAACTGATTACTCAAAAATTTTGAAATAACCGTTTTAGGTATTTTTTTTCCAGCTATTGCATAAATATTTTTTAACGTTGAAAATGCTGAAGGATTTTTTAGGTCATAATATAATGACTTTAATGTAGTTCCATCAGCTCCATGCGTGACTTTGTTTGCCATTTCTTGATTACTTCATGCCCTCTTGGGTGTGGATTCTTTCTATTTGTTTTTCGGGAGGGTTTGGGGGTCGAATCAGTTATTAATTTCCGTTTTATCGCTTTTCGTGGGCCTCTAGGGGTATCTGCTGAAAAAGATATTTCCATAGGAACAATCTTCTCCAAGGCTTTTTTTTTATCTGTAGAGTTATTCGGTTTAGGTGTCAATTTAGCTTCCAGAATTTTTAATTTCTCATTTAACAACAGAACTTGTCCTAAAACAGTGTTATTTTGAGAAGTCCCTGCTGGCGATTGAGGTAATTCTGGTCTCTTACGGTTGACACTCTGTCCTGAATATTCCGGAAAATTAACAGGATTTATATTATCTTCAAATCTTATTTTTTGAGCCTCACTAGGCAGACTATTCATGAGAAAAAGTTGACTTTTGTGTGCTTTAAATTGTTTTGGAGGTTCCTCACTCCCTGGTGATTCCGTAGCCAAAATTTTCTTTACAATTGCTCCTGTTTCTTCAAGTTCTCGCTTCTTGCGGATTTTTTCGCTCTCTGTATGGCTTAAATACTGAGTCAATAAATTATTAAACTGCTGCACTTTCTCATCATCACTCAAATATGACTGATGCAAAATTTCTTCAGATTTTTTATTAAACGCTGTTTTAGGATCAGTACTGCTATCGTGAATACTAGAAATCATCTTTGAACCCTTAATATCGAATACATCATGACATCCTTTAGAGTTCAGTCCACATTTTTTGGCTTCATCATAATCAACTAACACCATTTTTTTTCCAAAATTCATGTTTATTTCACTTTTTAATAAAATATGTTACAAGTTCAGAAACCAGCGGTACTAGAAATGGAATCCAAAATCCGTTACCCTTTTGACTTAATAATTGTCTCTTCACTTTGATAAATTTACTGTATTCTTTTTTATTTTTACATCCACTTGCCGAGGCTGCTAATTTTTGAATAAACTTTCGATGTTTTTTTAATTTTTTAAATTGTGCAGCTGAACAATTAATGTTCCCTTTCAAATAGTTCAAGGCAATTTCTTCAATTGCTTCAATTAAGTCAGTATTGGCCTCTTTTATCAAAGATTTTCTTAATTGAGGCGTAGACTTGGAAAGAAGCTGTAAAAGACGTAATTCTTGCTCTGCACGTGTCTGCATGTCAGTAAAAAATGAAACATCTAATAGAGCTGTAGTCATATTTAATTATTTTTTATTTTTTCTTCAAAGAAACATACACAATAGTATTTTCATCATCTGGAAAAATATTTTTTCTCATTCTAAGATCGTTGTGACAACACTGTGTAAGATCCAATAAAATGTAAGAATGTCCATCATGACATGCATTATTGTAAGCTTCCAAAAAGAACTTTGCATTTTGAGGCATAATTTGGCGTCCTAAACATGATATTTGATCTAATGCACGGGGGTTTTTAAACAAAATCATATAATGACTATTCAGTGATATTGTTCGAAAATATTTGTTAGACGTAAATACATTTTGTGCCAGTAACAAAACGGAAACATTTAAATGATGAGACAGTCTAGTGTATAAGTCCTGAACCACTCCATCACAATCTGATGCCTGGTCGTCAATAATTAATAATCGATGCTTTTTATCCGAAAAATCATTAACGTTCGGGATGCCTTCATGAATACGAATTTTTTTATCATATTTTATGAAATCTGGGAGAAAAATTTCATGCTCAGGTGGTAATGAAAAAATAATTTCTTCAAATTCTTTATCGAAAAGCCATTTACGCCATTTAAGCAATCTAAAACAAAAAGAAGATTTTCCACATCCTGTTGGTCCCGCGACAATTGCTGTTAATGGGCATTTAAATTGAAGTCTATCCATCTCCAAAGGATAAAACTGCTGCTATTCAGACCTTTTGAATTTTTTTTCTTTTTCTTTTTATTTTTTTCACCACCTATTGTTATTACAATTTTAAAATAAACTTGAGTGTAGAAACACATAATGTGATATGCGATAATTTTATTAAACTCCCTTTATTTATATATACATATTTAACTGAAAAAAAAAACAAATCCTGAAAATATTATTTTAAATTAATCCAAAAAAAATTTAATTGAAAAATTTTTATTTTTATTTGTACAAAACGAAATTTTCATACAGATATTGAATTTTACGATTTAATTTGGCGATCTCCGATTCTGTTGCACACATTTTTATTATTTTTGATAAAATATCCACTAAAACCTGAGCCGCTAGTTTTAATCCATTTGAGTGAATGCTGGCCAAATATGTAGAAATCTGAATGCTTTGATTCTTTGGAATAATATGTGTAAATTTTCTCTGATAGACAGTCAAGGATTTCGCAGTTTCAGTGTACAAACTATAATAACGATGTGACTTGATGAGACAGTCATGAATATCTTCCAAGTTGTCCACAAAATTTAATCCAACTAAATCTTCATCATCTTTTAAAAATATTTTCACTTCTGGAATCTCCAAATAAAAGATTTTTACACAGGGTGTCATCTGTAATTTTTTTGTTATTATGTTCAGATTGATTTGCCATTCCTGTACATCACCGAAGAGTATCTGCTCACGATTATCTTTATAGACTTCCCAAAAATCCAAATCGCTCACAAGTATTTCACTTTCAAAAAATTCATTTGAATTTATTAAATCTTCCAATTTCTTGAAAATAAATTTAAAAAATTTTAAATTCACCATTTCCGATGCTTAACTGCAAAATAATGATCAGTGCTAAATTTTTTTTAAAAAAAAATATGTTAAGTCTTCACAATTTAAAGATAGCCTTTAACACGCCCTAACAACGCCATTGAATTTTTCTTCTCAATGTTTTTTTTTTTTTTTTTTCGTCTACACCCTTCGTATTAGTATTTTTTTTAAAAAAAAAAGATGAACCCAGAAATTGTATATCTCTAGTATCCATAAAAAAAAAACTAATATTCAAATTTCATACCCTTTCTGATTTTTTTTTTTTGGGTTGTAAAATGAACCATTATATTTTTTATGGCCTGTACCTAAAAACATTTCAATATTTTTGACCTTACAACATTATTTCTATGAGTTTTAAGAATTTTTAAAAATTCTCAAATTGCCATTCACACTCTTAACAACCATACTTTCTAAAAAATATACTGTTACATCATAATAAATAACTTACACATGTCGTACACACTTTGTTTATACCAAAACAAATTTCTTCATATTCCCAGCACGCCTCAAGTTTCAACTTCTTTTTCCCAAAAAGAAATTATTATAAGTGTATCTAAGAAAATTTCACTATCTTATCAATAATGCTATAAAATTATCAATTTCCGCTTACATGTAAAATCGTGTTTAATCTTATCAGCATCATGACACCGGACACCTCAAAAACAGCGACGTTAGTCCCATCCTCTCTACTTTTATGAAGCAACCTAGTGCAAAAGTAGCTACTATTTAACATTTTCGACTGCATATCTGCCAGGACTTCACAGAAATTGCTCAAACTGACAAAGCAATTTGTGCAAATGATCTTAAATCAATAAATCATGACAAAAAATTTATATAACATTATTTCAAAGATACAGTGAATTTATGAAGCAACCTAGTGCAAAAGTAGCTACTATTTAACATTTTCGACTGCAAATCTGTCAGGACTTCACAGAAATTGCTCAAACTGACAAAGCAATTTGTGCAAATGATCTTAAATCAATAAAACGTGACAAAAAATTTATATAACATTATTTCAAAGATACAGTGAATTTATGAAGCAACCTAGTGCAAAAGTAGCTACTATTTAACATTTTCGACTGCAAATCTGCCAGAACTTCACAGAAATTGCTCAAACTGACAAAGCAATTTGTGCAAATTATCTTAAATCAATAAAACGTGACAAAAAATTTATATAACATTATTTCAAAGATACAGTGAATTTATGAAGCAACCTAGTGCAAAAGTAGCTACTATTTAACATTTTCGACTGCAAATCTGTCAGGACTTCACAGAAATTGCTCAAACTGACAAAGCAATTTGTGCAAATTGTCTTAAATCAATAAAACATGACAAAAAATTTATATAACATTATTCCAAAGATACAGTGAATTTATGAAGCAACCTAGTGCAAAAGTAGCTACTATTTAACATTTTCGACTGCAAATCTGTCAGGACTTCACAGAAATTGCTCAAACTGACAAAGCAATTTGTGCAAATTGTCTTAAATCAATAAAACGTGACAAAAAATTTATATAACATTATTCCAAAGATACAGTGAATTTATGAAGCAACCTAGTGCAAAAGTAGCTACTATTAAACATTTTCGACTGCATATCTGTCAGGACTTCACAGAAATTGCTCAAACTAACAAAGCAATTTGTGCAAATTATCTTAAATCAATAAAACGTGACAAAAAATTTATATAACATTATTTCAAAGATACAGTGAATTTATGAAGCAACCTAGTGCAAAAGTAGCTACTATTAAACATTTTCGACTGCAAATCTGCCAGAACTTAACAGAAATTGCTCAAACTGACAAAGCAATTTGTGCAAATGATCTTAAATCAATAAAACATGACAAAAAATTTATATAACATTATTTCAAAGATACAGTGAATTTATGAAGCAACCTAGTGCAAAAGTAGCTACTATTTAACATTTTCGACTGCAAATCTGTCAGGACTTCACAGAAATTGCTCAAACTGACAAAGCAATTTGTGCAAATGATCTTAAATCAATAAAACATGACAAAAAATTTATATAACATTATTTCAAAGATACAGTGAATTTATGAAGCAACCTAGTGCAAAAGTAGCTACTATTTAACATTTTCGACTGCAAATCTGTCAGGACTTCACAGAAATTGCTCAAACTGACAAAGCAATTTGTGCAAATGATCTTAAATCAATAAAACATGACAAAAAATTTATATAACATTATTTCAAAGATACAGTGAATTTATGAAGCAACCTAGTGCAAATGGAGCTTCTTTTTAACATTTTCGACTGCAAATCTGCCAGAACTTCACAGAAATTGCTCAAACTGCAAAGCAATTTGTGCAAATTATCTTAAATCAATAAAACGTGACAAAAAATTTATATAACATTATTTCAAAGATACAGTGAATTTATGAAGCAACCTAGTGCAAAAGTAGCTACTATTTAACATTTTCGACTGCAAATCTGTCAGGACTTCACAGAAATTGCTCAAACTGACAAAGCAATTTGTGCAAATGATCTTAAATCAATAAAACATGACAAAAAATTTATATAACATTATTTCAAAGATACAGTGAATTTATGAAGCAACCTAGTGCAAAAGTAGCTTCTTTTTAACATTTTCGACTGCAAATCTGCCAGAACTTCACAGAAATTGCTCAAACTGACAAAGCAATTTGTGCAAATTATCTTAAATCAATAAAACGTGACAAAAAATTTATATAACATTATTTCAAAGATACAGTGAATTTATGAAGCAACCTAGTGCAAAAGTAGCTACTATTTAACATTTTCGACTGCAAATCTGTCAGGACTTCACAGAAATTGCTCAAACTGACAAAGCAATTTGTGCAAATTGTCTTAAATCAATAAAACATGACAAAAAATTTATATAACATTATTTCAAAGATACAGTGAATTTATGAAGCAACCTAGTGCAAAAGTAGCTTCTTTTTAACATTTTCGACTGCAAATCTGCCAGAACTTCACAGAAATTGCTCAAACTGACAAAGCAATTTGTGCAAATGATCTTAAATCAATAAAACGTGACAAAAAATTTATATAACATTATTCCAAAGATACAGTGAATTTATGAAGCAACCTAGTGCAAAAGTAGCTACTATTAAACATTTTCGACTGCAAATCTGTCAGGACTTCACAGAAATTGCTCAAACTAACAAAGCAATTTGTGCAAATTATCTTAAATCAATAAAACGTGACAAAAAATTTATATAACATTATTTCAAAGATACAGTGAATTTATGAAGCAACCTAGTGCAAAAGTAGCTACTATTAAACATTTTCGACTGCAAATCTGTCAGGACTTCACAGAAATTGCTCAAACTGACAAAGCAATTTGTGCAAATTATCTTAAATCAATAAAACGTGACAAAAAATTTATATAACATTATTTCAAAGATACAAAGAATTTATGAAGCAACCTAGTGCAAAAGTAGCTACTATTTAACATTTTCGACTACAAATCTGCCAGGACTTCACAGAAATTGCTCAAACTGACAAAGCAATTTGTGCAAATTATCTTAAATCAATAAAACATGACAAAAAATTTATATAACATTATTTCAAAGATACAGTGAATTTATGAAGCAACCTAGTGCAAAAGTAGCTACTATTTAACATTTTCGACTGAAAATCTGCCAGAACTTCACAGAAATTGCTCAAACTGACAAAGTAATTTGTGCAAATGATCTTAAATCAATAAAACATGACAAAAAATTTATATAACATTATTTCAAAGATACAGTGAAATTATGAAGCAACCTAGTGCAAAAGTAGCTACTATTAAACATTTTCGACTGCAAATCTGTCAGGACTTCACAGAAATTGCTCAAACTGACAAAGCAATTTGTGCAAATTATCTTAAATCAATAAAACATGACAAAAAATTTATATAACATTATTTCAAAGATACAGTGAATTTATGAAGCAACCTAGTGCAAAAGTAGCTACTATTTAACATTTTCGACTGAAAATCTGCCAGAACTTCACAGAAATTGCTCAAACTGACAAAGTAATTCGTGCAAATGATCTTAAATCAATAAAACATGACAAAAAATTTATATAACATTATTTTAAAGATACAGTGAATTTATGAAGCAACCTAGTGCAAAAGTAGCTACTATTTAACATATTCGACTGCAAATCTGTCAGGACTTCACAGAAATTGCTCAAACTGACAAAGCAATTTGTGCAAATTATCTTAAATCAACAAAACGTGACAAAAAATTTATATAACATTATTTCAAAGATACAGTGAATTTATGAAGCAACCTAGTGCAAAAGTAGCTACTATTTAACATTTTCGACTGCAAATCTGTCAGGACTTCACAGAAATTGCTCAAACTGACAAAGCAATTTGTGCAAATTATCTTAAATCAATAAAACGTGACAAAAAATTTATATAACATTATTTCAAAGATACAGTGAATTTATGAAGCAACCTAGTGCAAAAGTAGCTACTATTAAACATTTTCGACTGCAAATCTGTCAGGACTTCGCAGAAATTGCTCAAACTGACAAAGCAATTTGTGCAAATTATCTTAAATCAATAAAACGTGACAAAAAATTTATATAACATTATTTCAAAGATACAGTGAATTTATGAAGCAACCTAGTGCAAAAGTAGCTACTATTTAACATTTTCGACTGCAAATCTGTCAGGACTTCACAGAAATTGCTCAAACTGACAAAGCAATTTGTGCAAATTATCTTAAATCAATAAAACGTGACAAAAAATTTATATAACATTATTTCAAAGATACAGTGAATTTATGAAGCAACCTAGTGCAAAAGTAGCTACTATTTAACATTTTCGACTGCAAATCTGCCAGAACTTCACAGAAATTGCTCAAACTGACAAAGCAATTCGTGCAAATGATCTTAAATCAATAAAACATGACAAAAAATTTATATAACATTATTTCAAAGATACAGTGAATTTATGAAGCAACCTAGTGCAAAAGTAGCTTCTTTTTAACATTTTCGACTG